ATGCCTAAGGGCTGTGCCCCCAAGAGACGTTTCAAAGATATCAGAGGTATGCAAAGGGAGATATCTGTGGAAATAGGACCACAGCTTTTATCAGACTGAATATGAACCTTTTGTATGCACGTCAGCGAGTCTGGCATTAGCCACTGTAGGAGGACACGACAGATTGTGTATGCGTCAACCCTGCCCAGCCAGACTCACACCATGCCTCAGTTAGCCCTCAGTATCTCACCTGCGTGCCTGCATTGCCGAGTCTGGGGTGTGGGAGAGAGACCTGGGTCTCAGCTGGTGAGGCAGGAACCAGCGGATGCAGCCTCCCTGGGAGCTGACTCAGGACCAGGGACCTTTGGTGAGGTATTGGGTCATATGGGGGCCTCTGTGGGAATCGTAAGGATGGAGGAAACGAGACCAACTTCTCACCCCAAAGGAGGTGGCCTAGGTGAGGGAAGAGCCACACAGGAGCAATGCTCTTAGTGGTCTTGGTCAAATGGCTCTAATATCCCATGTAGTTTCCAGAAGATTCCACAGGTCATACCGGCGTCTTGTGGGACATCCCTGGCTTTGGCCTGTGCGCGTGCAGGTTCTGCTGTGGGTGACTCCAGCTCTTCCTGCCTCATGTTTGGTTTCTTTTTCTCTTTGAGTTCTTTCTTTTTCCCTATCTTGCTTGTTTGTCTTAACAGCCATTACTCAAATCATTTTGGGAAATAAGTAGACTATAAATGGGAAGGCAAAAAGGAATAAGAGATACTTGTATATGGGATGATTTTTTTAAAAGAGATTATCGCTTTTTAAATAAACATATGTATTTTTAATTTATTTGAAAGGAAGAGTGCCAGGATGGGGAAAGACTGATTTTTCCATCTGCTAGTTAGTTTCTGGGGCTGGGCTGGACCAGAACCTGGAACCAGAAACTCCATCTGGGCTAGTACTTGAGTCAAAACCTGCTGCCTCCCAGGGTTTGCCTCAACAGGAAGCTGGATGGGAAGCAGAGGAGGAACTCAAATCCAGAGTTTGCAATGCAGGACACAGATGTCTCAAGTGGTGGCTTAACCCACTGTGCCGCAATGCTCCCTCCTAGAAGGTATTTCTTGGATAATAAGCATAGTATTTTTTTAATGTGGAAATTTTGTCTAAATAAAATAAAATAGCTCATAATTGCCTTACACAGACAATCATAGTTAATATTTTGGTTTGTTTTCTTCAAAGTTTTTCTTACATGGATAAATTTTTTAAATTTTATGCTTTGATACTTAACCATTTATAAGTTAATAAATACATTTATGTAATATGAATATAGCATATAAAACTTGTCAGTTTTCTTAGTGTATACTGTCTATAAGTTGGGCAGTTTTCCATGGTATTTGAAACTCTTTATAAACATTTCAGGTACCTTGGTCTTCCCTAGATGCTTAGACCGTTCCTGAATTTTCCATTGTTTAAAGTATTGACTAATACCTTCATCTGCTAGATGCTTTTCAAAGATGAGACATTTCCGTTAAGAAAGAGCAGTGAAATGTCCGCAGTGGTGCCTGTGGAGGGCTAGCAGGTGTGTTCAGGAAGTGGCCAGGGCTGCACGAGAGGCAGCTGAGGCACCGTTCACTCAGTCTGTGGGCCTCCATCGGTTTCCCCAGGGACTTTTCTCATGGGGGCCTGACGTCTCTCTGAACCTGCAAGTGACCAGGGTGACGCTGGCGGGCCTGGTGGGTAAGGAGATGGTGGGCCCCCAGTAACGTGTTTATGAGCAGTGAGGTGGCAACATGCATGCGCCATCAGGCCTGGACACCATCTCTGCTTGCCCAGCTCCGTTCCAAGGCAGGTGGGCATGGTTTTCTGCTCAGACTTGGCAAGTGGGATCAGCCAACGGCTAAGTTACAGTTAACTTAGCACTTACTGCTTTTTTTGTTAATAATGGGAAGACCAGCTATGAAACGTGACGCAATTCAGAAAGGGTGTGTGGTTGTTAGGATTTCATGTGCCAGAAACAATTTTATTCATGCAAAAAAGAGCCACCGACAGTGATTGAAGACCTGAGTTCCTGAGAGTGCCCTGGGCTACACCGAGCTTTTCATTTGGTTAGTTTTTCTTAAATACTTTTCCTGTGAGGTGATGAACCTCGGAAGCCGTAAGCAGCGCGGGCGGTCTCAGGCTCATCCGTGTGGCAGGAGCTGGGTCCTGTGCAGGAAGGCCCAGGCTGTGGCTCGGCCTGGAGTGGGCTTGGGGGTGAGGCTCACTGGAAGTAAAGTCACCAAGGTCCTGGGCTCAGTGCTGCCTCGCTGGCTGGGTCTTCATCCCGCATCAGCAGACGGAGTGATGAGAGTCGACGTAGGGCCACAGCTTGCAGGAACAAACCAGCTCATCCTCAGAGGCTGACAGTCCGGGTGTCCCCAAGTCCAGGAACATCTGAATTCTGTGTCATGTCCCAGTTGCTGTTCAGAGTGACTGCCTTGGCCACAGGAACAAAGTGTCTAGCATGGAAACCATGTGGCAGACTTGGTTCGAGCCCGTGAACAGAAACGTTTGAAAGACTTTGGAAGAGATCTGCTCAGATATGTCCCTGCTATGGAGCATCAGTGAGTCAGTCAGTCAGACTGAAAGCGTGCAAGTGAGACGGGCATCAGCTGAGGCATCTCAGGGACCTCAGGCATCTCAGACCCTGTAGGCTGTGGGATTGTGGCACAGTAGACCAAGCCTGCACATCTGACACCGGCATCTGCTATGAGAGTTCTAGTTGGAGTGCTGGCTGCACTGCTGCCGACCCAGCTTCCTGCTCACGTGCCTGGAGAGGCAGTGGTAGATAACCTGAATGCTTGGGCTCCATCATCCACATTGCAGACCTTGATGGAGTCTTTGGCATGTGGCTTGAGGTTGGCTCAGCAGCAGCTGTTATGGCCTGTTAGGGTTGGTGAACCAGTGGATGGAAGATGGATCAATTTCTACCTGTGCCTTTTTTTTTTTTAAAGATTTATTTTATTTTTGTTGGAAAGGCAGATATGCAGAGAGGAGGAGAGACAGAGAGGAAGATCTTCCGTCCGATGATTCACTCCCCAAGTGACCACAACGGCTGGTGCTATGCTGATCTGAAACCAGGATCCAGGAAACTTCTTCTAAGTCTCCCACGTGGGTGCAGGGTCCCAAGGCTTTGGGCTGCCCTCAACTGCTTTCCCAGGTTGTAAGCAGGGAGCTGGATGTGAAGTGGAGCTGCCGGGATTAGAACCGGTTGCCATATGGGATCCCGGCGCATTCAAGGCGAGAACTTTAGCCACTAGGCCATGATGCTGGGCCCTGGGCCCTACCTGTGCCTTTTCGAGTCTTTAAAAAAGACTCCTGGGGCCCGGCACGGTGGCACAGTGGTTAAGGTCCTCGCCTTGCACGCCTGGAATCCCATATGGGCGCCGGTTCTATCCCCGCAGCCCCACTTCCCATCCAGCTCCCTGCCTGTGGCCCGGGAAAGCAGTCGAGGACGGCCCAAAGCCTTGGGACCCTGCACCCGCGTGGGAGACCCAGAAGAGGCTCCTGGCTTTGGGGATCGGCATAGCATTGGCCGTTGTGCTCACTTGGGAAGTGAATCATTGGACGGAAGATCTTCCTCTCTGTCTCTCCTCTCTGTATATCTGACTTTCCAATAAGAAAATAATAAAAATAAATCTAAAAAAAAAAGACTCCTGAATGTGAGAAGTGCAACCTACTTTGTGGGACAGTGCCTGGATCTGGGAGACAAAGATGCGGGAAATTGGACTTCCTGCCTCCAGCAGGGGTAACTAAGGAAAGACTCAGGGTGGCTGATCATGGGCCAGGAGAGCCCATGGAGAGTCTAACTAGGTAAAGTCCCTAACGGAGCGACATGACATGTGAGCTGGGCCTGAGGGATGAACATCTCAGGGATAGTTAGAGATGTGGAGCATCCCGACCCCTGCATCAGGGGTGGTGTGAGTGGTGATCTAGGAAAAGAGACTGGGCGCTGGTAAAAGGCCAGGGGATAAAGAAGAAATGATGGGCTGGGCCAGGTGTGCATGGCCTTGAAACTCATCCTACAGAGTCTGTGCTTTGTTCTGTGGCTGGAAGGGACTCATGGGAGGTTTTGAGTAGAGAAGTAACTTCTAATATCAATTAATATTGCTTTCTTCTTAAATTTTATTTTATTTTAAAATGTTTTAAAGGTTTATTTACTTTTATCAGAAAGGCAGATTTATAGAGAGGAGGAGAGACAGAGGGAAAGATCTCCCATCTACTGGTTTACTTCCCGGATGCAGAGTCCCAAGTCCCAAGTCTTCCAGCTTTCCCAGGCTGAACCAGTGCCCATATGGGATGCTAGCACTTGCAAGTGGTAAATTAGCCAATTCAGCCAATGTGCTGGGCCCTGCCTTTTTTTTTTTTTTTTTTGAGATTGAATTATTTTTATTTGAAAGGCAGATTTGGAGAAAGAGAGAGAGAGAGAGAGAGGAAGATCTTCCAGTCACTGTTTCATGCCTCACCTGGCTGTCCCAGGTGAAGCTGGGCCAGTCCAAAGCCAGGAGCCTGGAGCTTCCTTTAGATCTCCCACGTGGATACAGGGGCCCAAACACTTGGGTTTTCTTCCACTGCTTTCCCAGGTGCATTAGCAGAGAGCAGGATCGGAAGAGGAGCAGCTGGTACTCAAACTGGTACCCATAAATGATGCTAGCACCACAGGCTGAGGCTTAACTTACTACACCATGGCACCAGCCCCAATTTGTATTGCATTCGATGAAAAATAAACACACTAATGCCTATTCATTGAATAACATTTCAACTCAGGTGGCGTCTACGGAAGCAAAAAGTGAACATGTGTCCAGAGGTAACTCCTTTTCACTGCTAGTCATTTTTCTGCTATGTCAACCAGAGTCAGGCCTAGAAATGAGGAGGAGGATGTTCGGGCCAAACTGCGCATTCTCCGTCTGTCACACACACCCTTACTGTTGAATACTTGAAGTCGTATGAAGTAGTGTCCTGCCTCTCAGCTCATTTTGCTCTCTGTGTCATTTCAGAGCATGGTTTTATTGGCTATTCCCCGGAGCTGCTACGGAACAACACTCTGCCGGATTACACCCCGGGGGAGTCCTTCTTCACCGTCTTCGGGGTGTTCTTCCCAGCTGCCACAGGTACTATAGTCCGGGTCCTTCTTCACCCTCCTGTTAGGGGATAAGGAATATAAATGATTATTTCCCAGTGGCCTGTTTGTGCTGCTAGGATGTGTGTCTGACTTTATTTAAAGATTTTTGTTATTTGAAAGACAAATTGACAGAGAAAATATGAAAGAAAATGAGACTGATTGATCTTCCACCTGCTGATTTATTCCCTGAATGGCCATGATTTCAGGAACTCCATTCTGGTCTCCCACATGGGTGGCAGGGTGGGATCTGGATTGGAAGCAGAAGAGTTGGGACTTGAATGGGCAGTCCGACGTGGGATGCTCCCATTGTAAGTGGATGGCTTAACGCACTACGCCACAGTGCTGGCCCCATAGTGGGCTTCACTGTTACTAACAAAAGCTACCTGTGTGGCTTCCCCAGCAGACAGAGCCATATCACATTTTGAGCAAGTGCATACTTGGGCTAGAATGCCACCTGCCCTTTCCCTACCAATGATAGGTATTCTCCTAAGAAGCAAGATAAGTGTGATTTTCTTGCTACACTGATTTGGACCTAATAGGACAGTGAATAAATCGATTCCTACCTTCTGCTTTCCTGCACTATGATGGCCGTGGAGGGGCCTTGTAGAGCTGCAGCCCCTACGGAGCTTGCTACATGCTTGGGTTCCCAGCTTGGAGGGCAGTAAGCTGGCATGTTGACAAATGATTCCTGGAAAGTGCCATTCACTAGGGACTGGGCTTGTCTTCCTGGCACAGAGTCACAGGAGGATTTGCTCTTGATCCCAGCAACGCTGCTGGCCTGGAGTGTCTCCCTCTGCCTTGCCCCGCCATGCCATGCCCTAGCTCATCATTCTTTTCCCAAACAGGACAGGGATAGCAAAGGCAGGCAAAGCTCCTGGAATGTGTTGAGATGAAATAGGTTATCCACACCCGTGTTGACCACGAGCGGGAAAAGCTGGGCCTCTCATCTGCGGCCGGTGGGAATGTTAAGTGGTGCAGCCACTCTGCAGGCCATTTGACAGTTTCTTTAAAAAGACACTGAGGTCCAGCCCCTCCACTCCTGGTTATCTACTGCAGAGAACTGAGAGTCTGTGCCCATATAAGGATGTGCAGAAGTGCAGCTTAGTTTGTACCAGTCTCAGAGTGGAAATAGCACTGATGCTCTTCAATAGGTGAGCAGATAAACGAGACAGCCTTGTAGCCGCAAACTACTCAGCGATAAAAGGAATAAGCTATTAATACATTCAGGTATAGAGGAAGCTCAATATAATTGTGTTGGGTGAAAGAAGAAGTTAGATGTTAGAAGAGTACCTTTTTTTTTTTTAAAGGAGGCTATATGAAATTTCTTTTAGATAAAGTTCTAGAAAATACAGAGTGTGTCATTAGAAAATAGAGCAATGGCTGCCCAGGTTGAAGGGTGCAGAAGGGAAACTACCCAGAAGACGGAACCTTTTGAGGAGTGAAACATGCATTGCTGACATACGGCGATGGTTTCGTGGTGTGTTTTCGTGTCGGACTTCTTCACGTTGTTCCCCTGAGACACACACAGCTGGTTGTGTGTCAGTCACACCTCGGGAAAGCCGTTCACATGAAATAAGTTAACTCTGCCCACCTTGAGTCATCTTTCCTCCACCACACTTCTCCTCTAGCAGCACGCTTCCCCTACGTCTCTGCCACCAACCAGGAGGCTCCTTGCATCTGCTTCCCTCCTCCCCGCTCTCCTTCTCATCTCCTCCCCTCCTCTCTCCCAGAATTCCAAGCCAGTCTGCCAACGACAGGGCTCTTGCCAAGGTCATCAGTGATTTCTACATTTCAAATTCAGTGGATATTTTGAGTTCTTGTGTTTTAAAAGAAATTATCTATTTTTATTTTACTTCATTCTAGTTGCAGGAAGAAAGCAAGAAAGTCTTTCACCCACTGATCCCCTCCTCAGCTGGGGCTGGGCCAGGCTGTTCTATGGAATTCCTGTCTGGAGCCAGCCGCATGGGTGCCTGACCTGATGCATGCGTGCTGGGCTCATGCAGACAGAGGCCTCACACTTGGCTACTGCTTTGCTGTGGCTAAAATTCCTAACACATTTTGAACAAGGGCTCCTGTAGCTTTGTTTGCGTGGGAACCTGCAGACTCCATGGTCATGTCTGTTCTTTGTCCCCTGCCTTCCCCAACACACACAGTCCCTAGCCATCTGCTGCTGCTTTTCCACTTCCTGCACAACTCTCAAATCTCCTAAGGACCTAGGCTGTTGAGAAACAGATGCAAAACAGCGTTCAGACAAATCCCGCTTCCCTGCAGTCATGTATCTCCCTTAAGGCAATTCGATCTAGGTCAGACTCCTCTTCACTGGGCAGCAAAGACAAGGGAAACAGGGAATAAAAAGAGAGTATCAGAAAAGATTTCAGAGCCCTCTCTTTGACCCCCCACACCTCCTGTCTCTTTCCCTAGCTCCTGTCTCCCCATGCACATGTGGAGCACCTGGTCACGGGGCCACCTGGCTGAGCATCCCCATGGCCTGACAGTGAGACTCCCCCCAATGAAGAACTGTGCCTGGATGCCAGGCCAACAGGTCTACCCTGGCAGGGGCTGTATGCCTCTTTGGCTGAGCACAATCCAGTAGGAGTTATTCCCAGGAGTCCTCAGGGACCCCAGGAGGTAGTGTCAGTACACCCATGCCCTGATGTTCCCTCTCCAGCTTCCCCCTCTTCACCCCCAGGGCTCATGTTCGTGGTCAGATAGCTAAACAAGGGCATGCCTGGTGCGCATGGGGAAAGCCAGCCTTTTCCTCCAGGCAGGTGGTTGCTGGTGCCTGGGGCTTGAACAAGCCCTCTGTAACCCAGAGATTGGGTTGGATTCACTTCGGAGATCAGTTAACCCAGAAACTCTCAACTTTTTCATTTTTGTAAAATCTATATTTCTTTCTGGCAATCATGTTGAAAAACCTCCTGGATGCCAGACATGATGGGTGGGAGAGGAAAGGCAGCCGTCATCCATGCTCTTCATAGCTCTACTGCCTGAGAATAGGAATTGAAGCTTGTTTTCTGGGGTTTTGGCTATGAAAGTTTTATTCTGCAGTCTTCCAAGCACAAAACCATAGTAGGGAACAGGCTGACAAGTACATTGCCGTTACCACCCCTCTTCCGGTATGTAGCTTCCTGTCCCTCCCACTCTCGCTCTGTCCTCCTAACGCTCAGAATCACTGATTTTACCCTCTGGGAGGGAAAGGGGCACAGAAAAACTTAGGAAGAGCTTCATTAGAAGCACACAGCCCAGGAGTGGGCAAGGCCAGGGTATGGTCCTGCTGCGAGGGCTGCTCTGTTTACGGGCCCAGCGTCAGCATGGTAGGCAGTATAAATGCGGCACGCAGCTTGCTCTCCCTGGGCAGCTGTTCGGTGAAGCTATGAAAAGCATGAATGATTGGCAGTTTCCATGGTGACAGATTCGCCGAGGATTAGCTCTGAGTGAGTCATGGCTGGGGCTCCTCCAACGCCATCCTCCTCTGAACAGGAGACCTCCAGGCTGCCGAGAGGGAAGAGGAGTATTGAAGAACAAATGCTTCTGTTCTTCTCCACCCTCTTGGCGTCAGATATTTTGTCCCAGTGGCTGGAGACTGGAGGTCAGTTTTCCGTGACCCCTCTGGATTTGTGGAGCAGCCCTCCTATCCTCGCCTGCTCTGCCACACCCTGTGGCCCCGGCTGTCAGGGTGGGGAATGGGTGCAAATTTGGCAGCGACCTTGTGTTTGCCCCTAAGCTGCACCACCAAGCACTCCCTGAAAAACAAGCATCTCTTCCCCCAGGGTTTTCACACACACACACACACACACATACACACCCATGCCAAGTCCACAAGGTCCAGAACACCCCCCACACCCCTGTCTGCCAAGGAACCAGGAAATGGAAACTCACCGAGAAAAAATATGAGTCCTGTGAAGTCTCATAACCCTTGTTCCCAGATCCCACACTCTTACTGGAAGGGATAAGAGCCTCTTTGGCCACAGTCAACACATGGGCCTGTGGTTGACCACACCCAGCATGAAAAAATGTGGTGGGAATCCAAAAGCCCTGACCAGAGTGTCCACAGTCATCTTCCTTGTCGGGAACCCTGCTATTTCTGCAATGCCCTTCCACTTCTCTGGACTGCCTCGCTGTCCCTGCTCGCTCGCTTGCTCTCTCTCCCTCTTTCTGTCACACACACACACACACACACACACACACACACACACACACGATGCTCAGGAACCCTCTAGTCAGCTGCTTCAGCCCTAATGCTCCCTGTTCCAGATCAGTTTGTCCAACCTGAACCAGAAGTGCTGACTCCACCTTCATCCCACTTCTTCTTTCCTCCCTTCCCAGACACCTGCCAGGTCTACTCACCCATGGTGTGTCTTGTGGGGAGAGGATAAGGACGTGCTGGGCTAGCATAGGATCCCCAGGTTTGTGGAACAGTGAGGCCCACGTGTGGCCTTCCAGGAGAGGGATCTGTGAGTCGTGCCAGGCAGAAGGAAGGATGCCTTGTAGCTGTCATTGGAATTTATTTTTGTGTTCTTATTTGCAGAATTCATTGATAAACATCACGTAAATCCTCACAAATATTGATAATAATTAACATCATTATGATAGTCTGTCCTTTCAGATACCATGCTGGATGCTAACTTAGCATAGAGTTTTTCACTTAAGCAGTTGAAGCTGACCCCAGTGATTGGGTCCCTGCTACCTACAAGGAGACTCAGATGAAGCTCTTGGCTTCTGCCTTTAGGTTGGCCCAACCTTGGTCATTGTGACCATCTGATGGGTGAGCCAATGGGTATAAGATCTGTCTTCTTGCTCTGTGGCTTTCAAATGCATGAATAAATCTTTGGGGAAAAGGTGGAGAGGCTGTTTGATATAGCAGAACACTGCCTCAGTCAGGATACTTGAAGATTAGTGTTAGTTCTTCTAGCAGTCAGCTCAAAAACTTGAGCAAAATCCCTTTCTCTCTTTGGACCTCAGTTTCCAAGTCTGTAAATGAAGTACACG